CCAAAACTGCAATACGGAAGATGACTAATATTATATGATACATACTTCTTAATGAGGAAAAGTTAATGATGAGGAACTTATTTGAAAAATTTAACAGTACAGAATTGAACAGCCGTGTTACTACTACTCAGCGCATGAAATTCAACAATCATCCATCATCATATGAAGGCACTGGAGAATTAAACATTTATATTCATGTGTTTGTCACTTATCTCACCAAGAACATCAGTTCAAACATTCTGATCTAGACCTTGCTTCCATATACTTCATTACTAGTATTGCAATGACGAATTTAAACGCTACCGACTACACCCGTCGTACCATCGCCTATTTCATCATCCTGACTTTTTGATAATTCAACCATAAGGCGGGCCACATGATGCTCAACATCCATCTTTTCCATAATTGTCGCACCATCATTCGTAATTGTCACGTCACCATCGCCCGAAACAAGCATCTTATCTAAACCAAGCGGTCCCAAGGAAGATTTCAACGTGCTCACTACTGCACGTGCAGCCAAAATATGACTCTAAAATGAACTTAGTTATTCCTATTAACAAAGAACAAAATATGAAATGACTCAAAATCGGTTCAATTCCTTTTTACAAAGGAGCAGATCCCATAAAGATGATATAGATCCAATAATTTTATGTCGGAAGTGTTGAAAATTTACAGGCAAGCATCATGAACGTAAAAGGAATTCAATGTGTCGAAAATTCTGCATTTACAAATAAACTTGCAGACATACAATAACCAAGAACCTTATCTACATTTCAAGGAATACCATATTTCAAGTATCACATTTGGTGGAAACATTTCTGGATTTTTTAAAACTATCCATGCCAAAAACTTAGATCTTGAGATCAGGCCAAAAAAGAAAAAGAATAAAATCTGCGTCAAAAGTAAATGTCACTGGAAAATTTTTTATATTTGTTATTTGTTGTTTTAAAAATTATGAAAATGACAACTCTTTCAATTACCTTCAATGCTTCGATACCAGTTAGACGCTTCTGCTTCTCCTGATCACGTAGCAATATAAATGGTTGCCCAAATTCATCAAATAACACATGAGCTGTTGCTGCATCCGCCATCATCTTCACGTCTTACTTTAACTACAACAAATTACATACAAGACATACAAAAGCATAACAAATTAAATACATACAAGCATAACACTGAATATCATTTATAACAAATTCCACGCAAGTAGTCAAAAAAAAAGTAATGCACAAATCTCCCATGACATACGCAATTTAGTTTGTTTCCACCATTCAATCCAGCAAAAAAAAAGGAAGAAGGGATGGTATGTCACGATGGTTTCGCCACGATGACATGTCAATAATTTTATAGAATTGACGCAGTTGGTGTGAGAAAGAGAAGGCGAAATGTTGAGTCGTTGCGGTTTTATCACGATGCTATGAAATATTTGTTAATTGGTCATGTAAAAAGAGTGCAAATGATAAACGTGGAGGAAATGAAAATTCTTTAAGATATAAGAGAAATACTGTCGTCCCAATGAAGTAAAAACTAATCTATGAAATTGTGACGATGTAAGAGTGCAAAGATGTGCTACTTCACATCTGGAAACCTTCAACACTATCGATTTTCCATCCATACATCCGTCCATTCCCCCTCCTTAGCTTTTTTCTAAATCATTCATCTGCATATATACGCGTATGTATGTGTGTGTATATATATGTGTGTATGTGTCTGTTTGTCTATTCGTCTGTTTTTCGGACTATATTATGTATTTGGCACATTTGTATAATGCACTTTAAGGTATAGCAGCGTATATGTGAAAATGCTTATGTTATATACTTCCATGTATATATGTGTGCGTATATTTATGCATATAGATGGCTGTATATATGCATTAGCATATATGCACTATTTGTATGTGAATGCGTATATTATTAAATAAAAAGGAATGAGAAAGAAAAAATGTAGAAGAATGTGGCGCAAAAAGATCAGGACGATGACACTGTATGGATCATTTCATCTTCGTGATTTGTCAATATTTCCATCTGGACATTAACTGATGCTCATTTTCCTAATTGTTTCACAAAGTGTTTCAATGTTACAAATGAATGCAACAGTTGTATCCCAACATTTACGTCATGCCAATATGACCATATGGTACAGCCAATGTAGTATTTATACCGTAACAATCGATTATACTGTACATATTTGCGTATAAGATTTGTAAGTACATGAAACGTTTTTAAAAGAAAATACGCATGCAGAATTTTTCCTTCTCTCTATGGGACATTTACGCTTTCTCAACAATTATATGTAACATTTAATAAAAAAAAAAAAGAATTCAAAGTGATAAACTATCAATTATTGTGAATATTCCATTGAAGAAGCATATTAAACGATTCTACCAACAATATATTTTAAAACGTCTTCCTTTAAAGTAAAGCAAAAATTGATTATAAGTTATACAAATATTTTCTTAGGCATGCAAATATGCATCCCTTTTAATTTTCATTATATTATTCAATAATTCATACATTCTTTAATTCAAACTACGCATTTTATTCAACTTACATAAAATTAGCCATAAAAATTGTAAAAAAAAAA